GGCCGGCTCCTGGCCCTCGCCCTTTCCCCCATCTCCAGACCTGCCTCTGCCCTCACCTTCAGCCACTGCAGTGTGGCTAGCGGATTCCCCCCTCGGGCCATGCACAGCAGCTCCAAGTTCTGCCCTGCCCTCGCGTGCCCCTCGTCCAGGCCTGGCCACTCAATGACAGGGGGTCCTGGGGGGACTGGGGAACAGCAGTCACGGGCCTGGGGACCCCATGCATTCTTTCCAGGCCCCACAAGCTGCCTCTGAACCCCTATGTTTCCCCCTTGAGAGTCTGAGCCTTCCATAATCCCTGTGCTCCCCGGGCCCCCCAATTCCTGCTCCCCATTCTTAGTGCCAACAGTTGACTCAGTTCCCCACTTACATAGAACATTCATGGTGACTGAAGCCTTGATAGGGGTGTCCAAAGCTGGGCTGGACCCCTCACAGACCAGTAACTGCCCATTATCCGAGCTCTGGGGTGTCACCCTGGGGTGGGAAGTTGGGGTTCTAAAGTCAGAGTCATCATCTGAAATTTGGGCAGTCAAGGTGAAGAGGTGGGCATGCCAGCTCCCCACACCTGGCCTAAGTCTCTATGATGATTTCCTTTAGGATTTAGATAGAGTTCCATGGAAGAGATTTCAGGGTCAACAGCGAGAACTGGGGTCCCAGAGGCCCACACCTGGCCAAAACCTTTGTACTTGATCCTCTGGAACTGGGATTCCATGAAGTCTTAGAGTGTCAGGGTGAAGAATTGGGTCCCGGATGTTCCTACCTGACCCACGTTTCCATGCTTGAATCCCTAGGATATGGGGTTTTCATGGAGAAATTTGGGGATCCGTCTGTGGGAGGGCACCCCAATTTCCATACCTGGCTGTGGCCTCTGTGGTGAAGAGTTTCTCCTGGGATCCCTCATTCACATTAGCAGAGATGTCAGAAATTGTTTGTCCACCTTGGGGTAACAAGAAGGCTGAAGGGGTGCCAGGTTTCCCCCAAGGTAGATCCTGGGGAGCATGGCCTGGAGTTCCTCAGGGTGGACATACAACCCCTCCCTCCTGCTTCTGGAGGAAAAACACTATATCCATTCCCTCCACACGTTCCAGCCTCCCTGAATCCTGGAGTCCTCACTCAGGGCTGAGTCCTGGCCTGCGCCTCTCCCCTCCTCTCCTTTGTTTTTTTTTTGGCTATGCCACCTGGCTTGCAGGGATCTTAGTTCCCTGAGCAGAGATCAAAGCTGTGCCCCCTGCAGTGGAAGTGCGCAGTCCTAACCACTGGACCGCCAGGGAAATCCCTCTCCCCTCCCCTCCTTGATGGGTTGTATTACCCACCCCCATCACCTCAGCTTCCCGTTGCTGCACCAGAAGGACACCCGTATCTCTATCTGGAGCCTCAGCCTCTCCCCTGAGTCCCGGCCTAGCAGTCCCGTGAACTCCTCGGTACCTTTCCTGGATGTCTCCTCCCATCCACTGGGTCCCACTCTGGCCTCAGCATCTCCCCAAGCCTGTTCCTGCATCCCATCTCAGGAGAAGCCTGGGCAGGGACACATCCCCTCCCCACTCCAGGGGCTTCCCGCTGCCCCCATCAGTTCACCCACACTCACTCAGGAGGAAGGTGATGTCAGGTGCTGGCTTTGCATCCCCAGACACACAGCTGACCAAGTACTCCTGCCCAGCTACCCACGTGACCGTGCTCCCTGCCTCGGGGGTCAGCTGAAGCACCTTGGGGGGCACTGGTGAGAAATGGTCTGGGATAAGCCGGAAGCACCCAGAAGGATATGAGGATTTGGGCTTCGCGTCTCATTGCTCAGGAAATGAGTTCTGCACCCTGGGTCTAAGGAAGGGGGTGGTGGGGAACTGGGGGCTTGGACTCCTGGACCCTGGAGCTGGCGAGGGTGGAAGTCCAGACTCATGGGTCCTGGAGGTCTCTCACCCGTACCCAGGATGGAGAGGATCACTCTGGGCGACACGAGCTCAGGGCCTGTTTCTGAGCGGCTGACCTGGCACTCATAACCTGCGTCGTCGCTGAGGTCACATGCTTCAATATGCAGGTGGAATTCACCTGCAGGGAGGACCCCAGATCAGGGCCGCGCTCAGCCTCTGCTGGTGGCTCAGAATCTCAGGCTCTTGCCCCTTACCTTTCGTAGGGTCCCCTTGCAGGCGATACCGCGGGAAACTGGGGATCGTAGGATCGGGGCCTAGGAGCAGCCCATCTTTGGCCCATTGGACTGTGCTGCCAGGGGCGCTGACCCCACACCACAGCTCAGCGGCAGCCCCCTCCACCACCGTCAAGTTTTCAGGCAGAGCCCAGAAGCCTCGCGGGGCTGAGGCAGGGACTGGCACCTGGGCCAGGCCTGGGGACACAGAGGTGTCAGTAGGAGAGGGCAGAGGGTCTGCCTAGAGAATGTGGGTGGAAAATGAGGGCCACGTGGCTCTGGTCACCGGCCAGGATCCCACTCACCTGTCATCAGCAGCCCCAAGAGGAGCAGCAGCGTCCTGATGGGGAGCCTCAGAGCCAGCCCAGGTCCTCTGCCTGTGGCTCCCACAGGGACCACTGCCTGCCTCCTGCGTCTGCCTCTGTCTTTCTCTGCGTTTTCCATGTCTCCGTCTCTTACTTTTCTCTTTGTTTCTCTTTTTCTTCTTCTCCTTCTCTGTTTTTCTCTCCTCCCAGGAGTCAGTCTCCCCTACCCCACACTGTCTTTCTCTCTCTCTCTTCCTGCCCTAAGTCCCCTCTGATCTCCCTCCTGTATTCTCTCTATCGTGCTCTCCTGGTCTAAAGTTCCCTCTCTCTCTCTCTCTCTGTCTCAGTCTCTATCTCCTTCCCTGAAGTCAGTGTCTATTTCTCTTTCTTCTCCTGTGCCACTCCCACCCCTGGTCTCCTCTCACCACTCATAGCCCCTCAGGGAGGACCCACTGCTGAGTCGCGCAGGCCCTGGGAACCCAGGAGAGCAAGGATGCGGTCAGTGGCCGAGCTGGGTCCAGTTCTCAGTCGAATCTCGTCCTCACACTCTTACCTCCCCCAGGCACCCTCCTGCGTCTCCAGCTTCAGGCCCCTGCCCAACAGGCTCCTTCCGGCACAGCTGGAGCAAGAAATCCCCTGTCAGCACATGCCAGGCACATTCCTCGGTGCCTCCCCAGCCCCCATGACCCCAAGGGCCTGGCTTGGGCCAGGGGTAAAGGAGGAGCAGTTCAGACCCGGGAGGTCCCAGCTCAGTATGGGGAGCTGAGAGCTGGACCCAGCGTGGGGGTAAGACTCTTCGGCTCTTCCTACCCTGGTACCTGACCTTCAATCCCTTCCTTCTTTGAGTAGACATCCCCCTCTCAGTGATGTCAGGGGTCTCTGCTGAGGAGTGTGCAACAGTGTGTGAGAGGGACTGGGAGAGTGCCGATATCTGTGTGCACACATATGTGTGAAGTGCTTGTGAGTGTGTGAGCATGCGTGTGAGCCTGGGGAAAGTGAGAGTGAGCTGTTATCTGTGGAAGTTTGTGCAGTGTGTGAGTGTGTAAATGTCTAAGGTGTTAAGTGTGCCTGGCAATCTGAGTGGGTAGGAGTGACAGGTAGGGTCCGAGGCCACAAGCACTGAGCCCAGTGTGGGAACACTTGGGCAAGGGCTTTGTGAGTTCTAGTTCACGTAACTTCCCTCCATCTCTTTCTGTCTCTTCTTGCGTTCTGGGTGTCTCTGTCTCTCTCCCTCCCTCAAGCCACCTCGATTTATTTTCCTATCTTTCTCCATCGCTTTGAGACGCTCCCTCTCTGACTCAGTGTCCTTCCCCCTCTCTCTCTCCATTAGGTGGTTACATGTCAGCCAGCCTTTAACTCCGTCACTGTCTGTGCCTGTATGTTTCTCTGTTTTTCACTTTCTGTCTCTGTTCTCATCTCTATCTCTCCCCCATCCCATACTCTGTCTCTCACACACACCAGGAGCTCAATAAATATTTGTTCTCAGTCAGCCTTCGACTGTGTGTCTTTCTTTCATTTGTTTCTTCATCTCTGAGTCCTCCTGATTGTTCACATCTTTGGATTTTATAACCATATGCTGGTTGGCATGCCCTCCCCACTCCAGTGTGCGCGTACACACCCACATGGGATAAGCCTCTTCTGCCCGCTTATCTCCTGCAGGAATTGGAACTGCTCAGTTTTCTTTCTCTCTCCCCCACTATGACCCCCATCTGGTCCTCATCCAGAAACAAGATGAGGCATCTGGCCTGAGTCCCCACACCTCCATCCTTGATGCTCCCTCTAATCTTTCTTCTTGCCTCCCATTCCTGACTCCTTGCCCTCCTCCCACATCCCCTCTCCCAACGCCCCCACGCCTCCTGGGGAATGGGCCGGATGCAGAGCTGGAGGTTCTCTCACAGCGCCGTCACCAGATGGTGTCCCTCGGGGCCAGGGCATAGAGCTGTCCATTGCGGGGACCTTTAATTAGCACAAACCTTCCACCCTCCCTCTTGGATGTTTTCCTTCTCTAGATACTCCTGGGATCTCAGGCTCTCCATGTTTCCATGCCTGTGGCCCCAGAGAGCCAGGAAGGGGAAGTGATGTCAGGTGTCTGGAAAAACAGCCTTACTACCTGACTTCCACCCCAAGACTCAGGAGTCCAGGCCCCTTCTTCCCAAGGACCTGGGAGTTCAGGCCTCCAATCCTTCCCACCCACCCCCCACCCCCCATGCACACACAGGACTTAGGGCAGATGTTCACTGTCTGTTGATTTTCAAATCCTCCTGGGCCTGAGTGGGGGTGGGAAAGAGATTGGTGGTTAAATCCAGTGACTCTAAGATTTAAGGCCAGATTTTCTGACCCCAGGTCATCCTTTCCCAACTGCACTCTGGTGCAGGCAGGGGACCTAGTTGAGTCCCCAACTCCTCAGAAACTTGGAGCTCAGGCCATTAGCTTCTCAGTCCTCAGAGGTCTGAACCCCTAGTCTTAGAATCCTGGGGATCCATGCCCCTGCTATTTAGGGACACAAGAATCTGAGCTCAGGAACAAAGGAGTGTGGAGCCCCAGTCTCTACAGGCTCGAGAATGTCAGACCCAGGGTCCCAGGGTCCCAGGCCCCCAGTCCCCGCTCTGTCGGCTCAGGGTCCCTCCCACCTGCCCGGCCAGCTGCGCAGCGCACCGCGGGCCGGCAGCGTGGGAACGCCCCAGCTGGGCGGCATGTAGCCGTCAGGACAAGCTGCGTGGTTCCCAGCCTCCCCGCCTGACTCAGCCCGGACACCGCCGCCTCCCAGCCGTCGCCCGGCAACCACGGCCGAGTGGGGCGAGGGGGTGGTCCCGGACCACAAGGTCCTGGGAGAGGAGGGGCTGGGGGCCTGGATTCCTGGATCTTAGGACGTGCTATGGTTTGCAGCGGTAGCAAGGCAGGCAGAGGGATATTCTGAGAAGGGGTTTTGAGATGGGGAGAGCTGAACCCCCCTTCTCGGGGGGTCCCAGCTGCCCCCCAGGCAAACACGGTGCCCTCTTCCTGACCCACCAGGCCCAGAGGAGCCCCGGGCCCCGCTTCTCCGGGGCGCGGAAACTGGCGAGTCCCCAGGGGTTCCCATTTATAGCTCCGTTTCCACTCAGCGCGGTCCCTCCAGGACCCGGGCTGAGCAAGTTTCTTCCACTCCCTCCCCTCCCTCCTCCTCACCCCCAGCCATCCCCCAACCCCGGCAGGGTGCAGGTGTCCAACCCAGCCGGTACCCCCTCCTTCAACCCAGGTGTTCCAGCTCTCAGACTGAAAGGACGCAGGGGTGTCCTCCCGCTGGGGGTACCCGGCCCTGCGTGCCCCCATTCGTCCGCGTCTGGGCCGCGGGAGTTTCTCAGCGGGAAGAGGGCGGGTCTCCCAGAAGGCGGGCCGGGGAGGGGCGAGGGGGATCAGGCCCTCCAGGGTCTCTCCGAGACCGAGCGCGCGGAACTGGCCTGAGTTTCAGAGCCGCGGAGCCTGCGGCGGAGCAGGCTAGGAGAACTCTGGGCCAGAGACAGGGGGTGCTTCTAGCCTGGAGCGAAGAGTTGGGAGCGAAGGGGACTCCAGGCTAGAGTGGTGGGAGGTGAGCTGCCGAGGAAGGAGCTGGCAGGGAAGCCAGTGCAACAGCAAGTTTGCTGGATCTTGGGGGACACACACTCAGGATGCTGGTCCCCGCACTCCTTGTCCTCCTCTTCTGCCTCAGAGGGCGTGCAGGTACCGCGAGGGGCAGGGGCAGATAAATACAAGAGAGGGTTGTTTGCCAGTTGTCGTAAGTGCAGCTGAGGGTTCAGACTCCTAGATCTGAGGGAGAACTCTGGGACCCTGGGCTTCTGGATCTGAGGGCAGAGGGGATTGGGGACTGAACTCCCTCCTGAGTGAGGGAACTCTTGAATGCGCTAAGCTCTGCTCTGCTCCTCCGCTCCATTCTCCTAGGCCTGTCACCCCACTTCCTGCAACAGCCAGAAGACCTGGTGGTACTGCTGGGGGACGAGGCCCGTCTGCCCTGTGCCCTGGGCGCATACTGGGGGCTGGTTCAGTGGACTAAGGATGGGCTGGCTCTAGGGGGCGAAAGAGACCTGCCAGGTGAGGCTGTTCTATCTATTCAGGGAGGGGCTGACTCCAGGGTGAGGGTGCTGGGCTTGGGCTGTAACTGAAGTTTCTGTTTTGACGTTTTCAAGTTTGGGAAATGAATGGGCTCAAGGAAACATTTGCGAGTTCAGAATTTTCAGCTTCTTCTTTGGAGGTGACCCATAGGGTTTGGGAATTTTGATTTTGATTGTAAAATATTGCATAAGTGCAGAAAGGCTCATAAAGCATAAATGGAAGATTTGCCAAACAATTCTAAAATAGCCATGTAACGACTACCCAGGTCCTTTGCCAGCTCCCCAGAAGCCCTCCTTATTCCCTTCCCCTGTCATAGCCCACTCCCTCCTCACCCAGGAGGTAGTATCTAATCTGACTTTTATGGCAATTGTTTTCTTGCTTTTTTTTTTTTTTTTCCTGAATTTGTCACACACACACACACCCCACCGCACCCCCGCAAGTTTGCAGCGACTCTGGATTGGGAGAGGATTAGTGTCTCTCTGGCCCTGCACCCACTTTTGGTAGTGTCTTTCTGGTGTGGGATGTCTGGGGATGGAGGCCTGGGGCCAAGAACTCAGAACCATGGTGTGACTGCCTTTTCCCTGACTCCAGGGTGGTCCCGGTACTGGATATCAGGGAATGCAGCCAGTGGCCAGCACGACCTCCACATTAGACCCGTAGAGATAGAGGATCAAGCATCCTACGAATGTCAAGCTACACAAGCAGGCCTCCGCTCTCGACGAGCCCAACTGCATGTGCTGGGTGAGGACCCAGGCCACTTGTCCCTGGGGAGCCCAGGGGGACCACCAGTGCTAGCTGGGAATATGAGAGTCCGGGGAGAACGGAGGAGTGGTCGGTCAGAGCTGGGAAGATCAGGGTCTCTGGGCCCAGGATCCAGCTCTGACCCCAGATCCACCCTACAGTGCCTCCGGAACCCCCCCAGGTGCTGGGTGGCCCCTCTGTGTCTCTGGTCGCTGGGGTTCCTGCGAATGTGACCTGTCGGAGCCGTGGGGATGCCCACCCCACCCCTGAGCTGCTGTGGTTCCGAGATGGGGTCCGGCTAGGTGGGGCCACCTTCCGCCAGGTCAGGTCCAAGTCTCTGTGCCAGCCCTTGCTCATTCAGGGAAATTTGGGGGTCCACTCAGACCACAGGCTCATCCAGAGGAGGCATGGGAGGGCAGGGATTCAAGGATTGGGATCCTTGGTACATACTTAAGTATAAGGGCTCTAGAGCTAGGCTACCTAGGTTCAAATCCTGGCTCAGCCACTCGTTAGTCGATCTTAACCTCTCCGTCCCTCAGTTTACTTATCTGTACAATGGAGTTAATAGTAGTATGCACCTCTAGGATAGTTGTGAGGATTAAATAAAGTAATATTTATAAATGCCTAGAAGAGCGCCTGACATAAAGTAAGTACTACCTAAGGGCAGATGAAATCATCATTATTATTCATAACCTACAGACCCTGTTGAAGGAAGGAACCACTGGGTCAGTGGAGAGCATCTTATCATTGACCCCTTCCAGCCACGATGATGGAGCCATCTTGGTTTGCCGGGCTCAGAGTCAGGCCCTGCCTGCGGGGAAGGACACAGCTATCACACTGAGCCTGCAGTGTGAGTGCAGTTGGACACTGTGGGCCTTGAGCCTGAGGTCCTTGGGGAAAGAGGGAGCTGGGACCTGGACTTCAGGGTATGAGAAAGGAGAGGGCTGTGGACCTCGGGTCCCTGGGGGAATTGGGTACTGGAAGCCTAGACTCCTAGCTGAAAGGGAAGAGGGGACTGGGGACTCAGACTCCTGGGGGGAGGACCTGAGAATTGGACCACTAGGTCATCAATGGAGGTGTTGCATGTCCTTGCCCACCACTGACCATTGACTCACCTCTACAGACCCCCCAGTGGTGACTCTGTCTGCAGAACCACAGACAGTGCAGGAGGGAGAGAAGGTCACTTTCCTATGCCAGGCCACAGCCCAGCCTCCTGTCACTGGCTATAGGTGAGGACACAGATCATTTCTCCCCAGCCAGGAGAACAGGCTTGGGGAGGGCTGGGGCTAGGACGTGAGTAGGTGTGCTTAGGGATCAAGGACAACACAGCCCACCACCTTCGCAGGTGGGCAAAGGGGGGCTCCCCTGTGCTTGGGGCCCGCGGGCCAATGTTGGAGATAGTGGCGGACGCTTCATTCCTGACTGCGCCGGTGTCCTGCGAGGTCAGCAACGCAGTGGGTAGCGCCAACCGCAGCACAGCGCTGGATGTGCGATGTGAGCAGAGGCGGGGCCGTGGGTGTGGCCAAAGTGGGGTGAGAGAAATGGGACTGGGGCTACGGCGAGGCGCGGCTCTGACGGACGGCGGGAGGTGGTGGGGCCGAAGTAGGATTTAGGCGGGATTTGGCTGTGCTGGATCAGTACCAAAGTGGAGTAGGGGCGGGGCGCGAGCGGGGCCGGGGCTTGTGAGCCGGACGTACGAGCTGAGTTGTGAACTGGGGGCTTAAACCCAATGGCCCTTGGGAGTGTCGTTTCTGAGTGGCTAATCCCAAGTCAGAAGTTGCATCCCTCCCTGGTCATGTGACCCCTCCTCTGTCTCCTCCAGTCGGGCCGATTCTGCAGGCAAAGCCGAAACCCTTATCCGTGGACGTAGGGGAAGACGCCTCCTTCAGCTGTGTCTGGCGCGGGAATCCGCTTCCACGGGTAACCTGGACCCGCCGCGGGGACGCGCAGGTGAGGCCAGACCTGGGGCTTGTGGCCATGGCTAGCAGTAGATGGTGCTTTCTCCCATGGTCGTGTCCCTGACACCCCTTCCCTATCCCAGGTGCTGGCCTCCGGGCCCACGCTGCGTCTTCTCGCGGTGGGGCCGAAGGATGCAGGCGACTACGTGTGCAGAGCTGGGCCGGGGCTCTCGGGCCTGCGGGGCGGCGCTGCGGAAGCTAGGTTGACTGTGAACGGTGAGAAAGCGGTGCTTCCTAGTGGACCTGGCATGTCCTGGGATAAGTGGGCAGAGGGGGCGAGGGCTAATGGGAGTGGGCGTGGCCTTGGGAAGGGGAGCTTAACTGACGGCTGGGGCCCTTGGATTGAAGCGGGACCTAGGGAAGGCAAGCCTCAGAGGGGTTCGAAGTTTGTTGAGAGGCACGGCCTAGTTGGTTGGGGTTAGTGGGGAGTGCCCAAGCCTGGCCTCGCCTGCTTGAGAACGGGCCTTGGGGGGGCGGGGCCTCTCCTCTGATTGGTCCACAATCTCCAAACCAGCTCCCCCAGTGGTGACCGCCCTGCACTCTGCGCCCGCCTTCCTGAGGGGCCCCGCCCGCCTCCAGTGTCTAGTCTTCGCCTCTCCCGCCCCAGAAGCCGTGGTAAGGAAAGTTTCCACTCTCATGACCCTTCCAGCGGTGATCCCAGACCTCCTAGCCGGACTCCCAAAACTGCTGTGATTATCTGTGACTTTCCCTACACCTTGACCTCCTCCTCCCGCCCTCCTTCGTCTCCTCAGTGACCCTCCTCTTCTGTGCCCCCAGGTCTGGTCTTGGGATGAGGGCTTCCTGACGGCGGGGTCGAGGGGTCGGTTCCTGGTGGAGACATTCCCAGCCCCAGAGGGCCGCGGGGGACAGGGTCCAGGCCTGATCTCTGTGCTGCACATTTCGGGGACCCAGGAGTCCGACTTTAGCCGGGGCTTCAACTGCACTGCCCGGAACCGGTTGGGCGAAGGAGGCACCCAGGTCAGCCTGGGACGTAGAGGTGAGACCCTGGGCCCGAAGACCCCAAATCTGATTATTTCAAGCCCCCAAAATGCCACAGCCCCCAAACAGAGGACCCTCAAGTGCAGAGACCCCCAAACCTTGGGAGCCTCAAAACTATGAGTCTGTTGAATCCTGAGGTCCCCAAACAATAATTTCCCTCAAATACGGAATCCTAAACTAAGAGACCCCTCACACTTAGGGGCTCCAAAGAAGGCAATCTCCAAATATAGGCAGAGTAAAAATACCCTCAAAGTCTAAGACTCCCTAAAGCCAGGGAGTTTAACCTTGTGAAACCACAAGTTCATGAGTCCTTAAACCCAGGGACCCCAAGCTAGGGGACTGCAAAACTTGGAATCCCCAAACTTGGTGACCTTTGAACCCAGAGATTCCCTACAAAAGCCCCAAGCCCTGTTCCCCAGTTCTGGCTCAGCATCCTCAGGAACCCCCTCTTCTTCCCACAGACTTGCTGCCCGCTGTGCGGATCGTGGCTGGAGTGGCCGCTGTGGCCATGACTCTCCTTATGGCCGTCATTGGGGTGGCCCTCTGCTGCTGGCGCCACAGCAAGGGTCAGTACCTGAGCCCCACCGCAGGCCCATACACAGGCCCTGCCCACTGACTGGCCTGGCCTTGGGACCTGGTCCCAGTCCTGCCTCTCTAGACCCTCACTGGCCTTGGCTCACATTCAGGACCTGATTCCCTGCTCAAGCTCTAACTCCATCTCCTCAGGGTCACACACCCCTTACTCTCCTAGGCCAGGGTTCTGTCCCAGTCTCCCGACCTGATTTGCCCCAGTCCTCTCTCTTCCTGCTCACTGGTCTCCACAGACCGTGACCCAGCCCCATCATTTACCTCTGCCCCCACCCCCAATGTCCCTGGCCTCAGCCTCTTTCTCCAAGCAAAAGAATCTGGTGCGAATCCCAGGGAGCAGCAACGGCTCCAGTTCGAGGGGTTCCGAGGAGGAGACAGGCAGCAGCAAGGACCAGGTAGGATGCCAGGGTCCCCAGACCTGACGGTACCTCAAGACCCAAATAGTAACCCAGTCCCAGTTGTGATCCCAGTCGCAACTGGGCGCCCCAAACTCAAAAAGAGCCATAGTCCCAACCGTGATCCCCAGATCCAAATATCCCCCAAATCCAAATACACCCCTGACCCAATTATTCCCTAGACCCAATATGTCCCTAAGGCTCTTTGTTGTCCTGAGCCCAGACCCCAGCTCTCAGGTGCCCTTGGTCCCTCCTGCCTGGCCTCAGATGTTCAACTGAGGGTCTCTGGGGTCTGGCACTGGGGCCAGAGGATCCACTACACTCCCTTTCACTAAGCACCCTACCCCAGGGCCCCATCGTGCACACAGACCACAGTGACCTGGCTCTGGATGAGGAGGGAGCTCTGGAGACCAAGGTGAGCATTGGGAAAAGAGGGGCTCCCTTCACTGTATCTCCAACTCTCTCTCCACTTCTTTCTTTTTATTTTTTATTTTTTTATTTTTGGCTGCGTTGGGTCTTCGTTGTTGCGCGCGGGCTTCCTCTAGTTGTGGCGAGTAGGGGCTACTCTTCCTCGCGGCGCATGGGCTTCTCATCGCAGTGACTTCTCTTGTTGCAGAGCATGGGCTCTAGGTGCGCTGGCTTCAGTAGTTGTGGCATGCAGACTCAGTAGTTGTGGCTCTAGAGCACAGGCTCAGTAGTTGTGGCACACGGGCTTAGTTCCTCCGTGGTATGTGGGATCTTCCCAGAACAGGGCTCGAACCCGTGTCCGCTGCATTGGCAGGTGGATTCTTAACCACTGCGCCACCAGAGAAGTCCCTCTCTCCACTTCTGTTCCCTCCTTTTTCATTCTGTTGCCCCCAGAGCTGGCACCTAACCCCCTCCACCCACTTCTTGCTGCCTCCTGGGCTGTCTCACCCACCTCCAGTCTCAGTTTGTTTATCTGCTGACTATGCCCACATATCTGCCCCAGCCTTGGCCTCCATCTTGAGCCCCAGTTCAAGGTTCAGTCTGCTTGTGCTTTCCCCAACACAGTCATGTTTCAGGCCTCCTAGATGCCTCTCCCTGGTTGCTTCACCCAGGCCCCTTCTACCTACCAGGTTCCACACTGGCCTCACATTTCCCCAAACTTGTACATCCTTTAGGGTCCCATCTCTTTTAGTCCCCACTGACCCCAGTCCCCAATCCAGAGCCCTTCTCTCTCTTCTCTGTACCTAGTACATGCTATTCTCTTGGCCCGAAACTCTCCTACCTTTCTTCACATACCTACCCAATTCTCTCCATCATTCCTCTGGTCTCAACTCAAACATTTCTGGTTCCAGAAAGCTCATGCTTCCCTCCTCGTAGCCCTGATCATTCTGTCTGTGTTTCACCTGTCATAGCCATGACCACTGTGAGCTAGGCTTCCCCATCACAGTCTGAAGATTCCCCCATAGCTGTCCCAGTCACTCCCTGAACTTCCTCCATCACAACCCTGACCTTCCTGGCTCTATCTAGTGATTCCTCATTTCTCCTTTGGCCTGGATCTCCATGAGGACAGGGCTAGGTCTATCCTAGTGAGAGATGTCTAGGCATGCAGCACAGGGCATGACTCAGAATCAAAGCCTCAAGGCTGTTGGGCAAATGAATGAATTAATGTCTTGATCTCCGTTTCTCTCTCTTGTTCCCTCTGCATCTCCTTCCACACCGCCACCCCTCAGCAGGCCTATATCCTTCGGTCTCTGTCTTTCTCTGCCTATCTCCTTCTGTCCCTTCATCTCTTGTCACTGTTTTTCTGTGTCACTTTGTTCTACCAGAGTCTATATGTCTCTGAGTCTCTGACTGCTCCTGTTTCTATCTTTTCGTCTCCCCCTAGGTCTGGCTGTATCTCAGTGTGTCTCTCCATCAGTGACCCTCACCCCGCTGTACCCTTACATACCTTACCAAGTCCCATTTTGTCCCCTCAGGACCCAACCAATGGTTACTACAAGGTCCGAGGAGTCAGTGTGAGCCTGAGCCTTGGAGAAGCCCCTGGAGGAGGTCTCTTCCTACCACCCTTCTCCCCTCTTGGACCTCCAGGGACCCCTACCTTCTATGATTTCAAAACACATGTGGGCATTGTCCCCCCCTGCAGGTTATATAGAGCCAAGGCAGGTTATCTCACCACACCCCATCCTCGAGCTTTTACCAGCTACATCAAACGCACATCCTTTGGACCCCCAGATCTGGCCCCCAGGACTCCCCACTTCCCATATGCTGCCTTCCCCACCCCCAGCCACCCGCGTCTCCAGACTCATGTGTGACATCTCTCCAGCTGAAGAGTCCTGAGACCTTCAACTTACCATAATGGATTGTCCTGATTTCTGAGGAACCAGAACGAGTTGGTGACCTTACTCTTCCAAAATTGAACATTGAGGGGAGGGAAATGTCATTACAATTGTCGGGGTCATTGATACACAGTCAACTCAGCCAAAGGGGATGCCCCAAGTGGGAGCAAGAAGGCCACTGTGCCTACCTCTTCCCCTGTGTAAAAGAGATTCAAGATGGCACATGGACCCTTTGCAGAGGGATGGGGGGACAGGGGGTGATGGGAGTTAGGGGCAGAGAAGGAAGTTGTTTCCCAACACTGAAAGAAGATATTTCAAGATGACCACCTGCATTGAGAAGAAAGGCAACATAAGGCAGATTAAGATGGAGGACCTGTCCTGGCTCTCCCCAAGGGGCACTTTGCTTCACCCATGGAATTGCAGCCAAAATGGCCATTCACTCCCTGGGAATCCAAGATGGTCACTATCTTGATTTTTTTCTACCTTCCTTAAAGGCCCTGGAAGAACTGGACCCAAGGAGTAAGGATAGGGTGAGAGCTGTTGTGGGGTTGAGGGGGGTGAGGGGGTGGTGTTGGACTCTGAGAATGAGAATATTTATGTTTAATTTAAAAGGTTGCGAAGTGAATGTCTTAGAGATTCTCCTGGCATTATTACTGTCTATCAAAGAAGGGGTCCATCGAAGCTGCCCCAAGGCCCTTCTTCTTACCCTAGACTATGAAGTGGCTGTAGAAAAAACCGTGAGCCACCCCCCCAGCCCTTTGCTACCCATTGAGCACTCTAGGCTCTTTTAAGATACATCTATACAAACATACATGCACAGATGCACACACATGGCAGGACTGCCCCAGTCAGCTTGGGGAAGACAATTCTACATTGCATTTTGAGGAGACAAAGAAGTGAGCCCTGAAGGGGAGGGGGCGAAGGACAGGCTAGGGGTGGGAAAATAGAAATGCCCTGATCCTTACAGCAAGGATGGGGGTCAACTCTTATCTTGAGGTGCTGGCTACCTGACTCAGCTCATCCTTAAAGAAAGGGTCTGGGGGCTTTTGTTCATGAATCCTTGATCTAGGAGTTAAAGGTCTAGACGACTGGGGTTCCTGGGAAGCAGAGCAGAAGGCCTGGACTCGTGGGTCTTAGGGAGAAAGGGCTGAGGGCTTGGTCTCTGGTCCTGAGAGAGAAGGTACCTGGGACCCAGACTCCTGGATCTGAGGGAGAAGGGGACTGGGTCTCAAGTGCTATGTTGTTTTTTTTGTGTTTTTTTTTTTTTTGCGGTATGCGGGCCTCTCACTGTTGTGGCCTCTCCCATTGCGGAGCACAGTCTCCGGACACGCAGGCTCAGCGGCCACGGCTCACGGGCCCAGCCGCTCCGCAGCATGTGGGATCTTCCCGGACCAGGGCACGAACCCGTGTCCCCTGCATCGGCAGGCGGACTCTCAACCACTGCGCCACCAGGGAAGCCCAAGTGCTATGTTCTTGATTGGGGAAACTGGAGGCCTGTATTCCTGGGACCTCAAGAGACGATTTGGGGGTGGGGGCCGCTCTCCAATGCTTGCATTCCTAGAGGAGAAGGGAGATGATTTGTGACTATCTGGATCCGAGGGAGGGGAACACTGGTGGTGAGAGTCTTGAGGGAGAACTCAGAATCCCCAACCAGGAAGCCCGTGACCCAGACTCCTGGCTAGGCGCTTGCATGGGGTGGGACGCCTAGAATCTCAAGGCGGCGGGGGCCTGGCGCAGGTTCCCACCCGGGGTTTCCAAGCTTCTCCGCTGTGCCCAGAGCTGCCACGCTATTGTCCTGGCCAGGAAGGCGGGGCCAGCGCGGGGCGGGGCTGGCGGCGCCGGCGCAGCCCGGGGGCGGCGGGAGGAGGAGGTGGCGGCGGCCGTGGCGCTGGGAGCTCCTGTCACCGCTGGGGCCGGGCCGGGCTGGGCGGAAGTGCTGGGGACGTGAGGGCGCGAGGGCCGGGACATGGGACCCGCCATCCCCGCCGCTCGCGGTCTGGGCCCGCTGCCGCTGTTGCTGCCACTATTGCTGCTGCTTCTGCGCGCGCAGCTCGCCGTCGGGAGCCTGGCCGGTGGGAGTCCCAGCGCTGCCGAGGTGAGGCCCGGCCGGGTCCAAGGGGATGGGGGAAGGGGCGGGACCGGGCCTCTGGACCCCGATGCGGACAGGTCCAGAGCAGAAAGCGCAGTCTTTCCAGCTAGGTGGCCGGGCCCGCCGGCGCCGCTAACTGCGCTAGGCATTCAGAAAACCGTAAGTCCAGGCCCCATCTCCTTTATCATCTGTCGTCCCAGTCCCCTCCAGCCCCCAGCGTAGGAACTGGCTTTTCCAGGGCCCGTGGTCCCAGAAGTCCAGCCCCCTCAGACCCTCTCGACCTAGGTGACTCAGCCCTAGACCCTTCCCACCTGAACAGGACCCACCAGGCAGCAAGGCACCTACAGCCAAGAATCTGGGCCCCCTGCATCCTCTGGACCCAGATGAGGTCTCCCGCAAGGCTCCTAGGACCCAGAAGTCTAGGCCTCCAGCCACCGCCCCCCAAGCCAGGATGTAGCTCTCCATCCCTCAAGGACTTGGTGTCCAGGCCTGCAGGGCCCTGAAGCCAGGCCTTGTGGCCTTTGCACCCGAGAATGCGAGCATGAGCTAAGGATGGAGGGAGGAGGGGCCCGAACGCCTGGGTTCTGACCTCCTCCCCCTCCATTCACGTTTAACCCTTTCAGCTCTAGTGCGGCTGAGCTGGGGTGAGGGCGGAGCCTGTCTCCGCGGCAACAAGGCCGCGAGAATCCCGGGGGACCCGGGTCGCCATAGCAACGGCAGAGCTGGGGCGCCCCCGCCCTGTGGGAGCTGTTTCCCGGGGAACCGAACGTCTATGGAGGCGGTGCGCTGTGCTTGGTGGAGGGGGCTGGTGCTGGGGCTGTGAATATCTGGGTCCTAGGGAGCAAAGGACCACGGGACTCACATGCCCGCGTCCCCCGTGCCCTCGCTGACCCCTCCGTCCCCACCCCCAGGTCCCAGGGTCTGCGCAGGTGGCTGGACTATGCGGGCGCCCAACCCTTCACCGGGACCTGCGTACCGGCCGCTGGGAACCAGACCCACAGCTCTCACGACGCTGTCTCCGGGACCCGCAACGCGTGCTGGAGTACTGCAGACAGGTAGGCGGGACCTACTGGGAGGGGCGTGGCCAGCAAGAAAGGGGATCCAACTTGGGGCCGGGTCGCGCGTAAGAAGGTAGTCGTGCAAAGGCAAGGTCCAGGGACATGAGGGATCCAAGAAGGCATGGGAGACTAGGGGACGTGGCCAACAAAGAGGCGAAGTTAGGATAGGACAGGACCTGTTTCTGAGAAACTAGGTCAGGAAAGGGGAAGAACCGTGCACAGACGGCCCACTGAGCAAAGTGTCCAGTGAAGAGACAGAGTTTAGCAATAATGTAGTGGACTCCTTAAAGAGCAGGTGTAGGTGGACGTGACCAAGGGAGACGCGGGGCTAAGACAAAAAGACCTTTGGACCGGCGTGACTGGGAACGGGGTAGAACCCAGTGGGAGAGTGGAAAGCTAGGAGGCGTGACTATGAAAGCAGGTCTAACACAAAGAGAAAGGATACTTACTGAGAGGCCAGAGAGAGCCGAGGCTCAACGAAGGGAGGAATCTATGGGGAGATAAACCTGATAGGGGGAAGGGGCAGAGGCGAGTACAAGAGAGGTGGGCTTAGAGGGATTGAGTTTTTGGGCAATGGAGGGACCTTCGTAAAGAAACCGGACAGGCAAAGGGGCGGGGCCTAAGGATGGCGTGGCTTAAGGGAGAGGTACTAGGGGGCGTGGCCAACGGGCTTGAGGGGCTTAGATATCTAAGACCTGTTCTACAGAGAAGCGGGGCCTAGGGAGGAGAGGTCCTTATGAATACTAGAGACTTGAAAAGGGAAATGGCCAGTGCAGAAGCGCAGGCGGGGCCGTGGGTTGATCGCCCCCACCCGGTGCCCCCAGATGTACCCGGAGCTGCAGATTGCACGTGTGGAACAGGCGACACAGGCCATCCCCATGGAGCAATGGTGCGGGGATGCCCGAGGTGGCCGCTGTGCCCACCCCCACCACCAGGTTGTGCCTTTCCGCTGCCTCGGTGAGTCACAGGCTGGGGGAGGGGAACGGAGGTGGGGGGTCTCCGAGGGGTGAGATTCTGGCCCTGGTTTCAGGCTCACATTAGGGAGATGGATGCCTGGGTCCAGAGTGGGACAGAAAAGCCTATGAGGATAAGAGATCTGGATTCTGAGGAGGGTAGGGCTAGTGGCTGCGGCAGTGTCTCACATCGATGACCCCCCTTTGCCAGAGGGTGAATTTGTGAGCGAGGCCCTGCTGGTGCCTGAAGGCTGCCGGTTCCTGCACCAGGAGCGCATGGACCAGTGCGAGAGTTCCACCCAGAGGCGTCAGGAGGCACAGGAGGTCAGGACCCAGCCCACTCATCCTCACCCCCCCAGAACCCAGGGATCCAGTCCTCTAACACCCTCCTCCTCCAGAACCCAAGAGTCTGGGCCTCAGCCCTCTCTTCCCAATGGGACAGAACCAGGAATCCAGGCTCCCAGCCTCATCAGCCCCCAAGACCCAGGCATCCAGGCTCCCCCCTACCTTCTGTTACCCCACAGTCCTGGCATCTGGGCCCACTCTTCCCGCAGGCCTGCAGCTCCCAGGGCTTCATCCTGCATGGCTCGGGCATGCTTTTGCCCTGTGGCGCGGATCGGTTCCGAGGTGTGGAGTATGTGTGCTGCCCCCCTCCAGTGACCCCCAACCCGTCTGGGACAGCAGTTGGGTGAGTGGGAGGGAAGCCTCCATGCCCAACCCAAGGCTCCTGAGGCAGGAGATGGAAGCCTGTGGGCCTGGGCCCAGGTTCTCATTGCCTTGGGTCTTCTGCTCCCTCAGGGATCCTTCCACTCGGTCGTGGCCCCCCGGGGGCAGAGTTGAGGGGGGTGAGGATGAGGAAGAGGAGGAATCCTTCCTACAGCCAGTAGATGATTACTTTGTGGAGCCCCCACGGGCTGGGGAGGAGGAAGAGGAGGAAAGAGTCCCACCCTCAAGCTCCCATCCCCCTGCAGGGGTCAGCAAAGGTGAGGCAGGCTCTGAACCCCCAGTCCCCTCCACCCTGGGGGGAGGATGATTCAAGGGAGACTTGGTATAGGGGCCTCTTTGAGAGGGACCTGTGGGGGAGAAGCCCTGTTGGGGGAAATGGGAGGGATGGGAATGGCTTTGAATAAAGTAGAGGTGGGAGGGGCAGCCTGTGAGGAGTGCAAAGGGGGAGGGTGGTTTGGGGGTACCCGGAAGTGGAGGAGTCATTTGGCAGGTCTGAAGGATTATTGGGGGGAAAGCTTAGAGGATAGTGTAATGGCCCAGTTCAGAACCACATTTCGCATGATGCCAGGCAGCAGCTATGGCTGAAGTGAATACATGAGGGTCTCCAGTGCGCTCTAGGCAATGCAGTTCTCTGGGAAGGGAAGGAGACCTGGAGCTGGGCTTCTGGCTGACTCCCTGGTTCCTGGCCTTGCAGTGACCCCCACCCCGAGGCCCACGGATGGTGTGGACGTGTACTTTGGCATGCCTGGAGAAATCAGCGAGCATGAGGGGTTCCTGCGGGCCAAGATGGATCTGGAGGAGCGCAGGATGCGTCAGATTAACGAGGTGATGGTGCTGGGGGCCCCAGGACCCCCCATAACACAGAGCTCCCTAAATACCAGGAAATTCCTCAGGGACACATTGAGACTACCTCTAAAGAGTCCCCAAGTCCCCATTAACCTCCAGTCCTCAACACCACCCCTAAGATGACCAGGGGTCTCTGACCCACCTAGAATCCCACTGAGATGCCACCAGATTCCATGGAAACTCTGAGGCATGGTATTCTTCCACCTTAAATTCTTTCTGAATCCTCTCTCTTGGGAATCCAAGAGGCAGGGGGACTTAAGGGATCTGGAGACTCTGAAGAACGATGGGGGCAGGGGAGATTCAGTGGGTAGAGCAGGGTGGATTCTAGGATCCTGAAGCTCCCCTTGTCCCCAGGTGATGCGTGAATGGGCCATGGCGGACAACCAGTCCAAGAACCTGCCTAAAGCCGACAGACAGGCCCTGAATGAGGTAGGACAACCTCCAGGGTGTCCTACTCAGGCCTGTCCACTACCTGGGGCACACTGGATCTCAGCCTGGCTAAGGCTTTGTCTGGCCTCATCCAGTTTCACCCCTTCCTATTTGTGTGGACCTCTCCGGGCCCCACCCTTACACTCGGCTCGGCCCCTCTTGGCCTGCATCCAACCTGACTTTGCTTCCCTCCTCTTCCCACTGGCCATGTTTTGCCCTGTCTTAACATGATCCTAGCCTCTGAGGGCTGGCTCTGGAGGTCTCTCCCAAGCTGGGCCCCTGCAGACACAGCCCGGTCCTTCTCAGCCTCTCTGATGCTCAGCCCTGCTCCCTGACTCTGATCCTGCCCCTGTAATCTCCCTTTTACTCAATCCCTCCTCAGTAGTCCCAGCCTCATGACTCTCTGACCCACCTCTCTCAGCCTCACTTTAGTACAGCCCTACCCTGTGTAGACCCCACTCGGCTGAGCCCCATTACTTGACTCTTGCTCCTACCCAGCTCAGTCTTATTTAGTTACAGCCTGTCTCCCGTGGGTCCTGCCCAGGCCTGAGCCCTACCTTTCCTACAATACTTGGCTCCTTTCATCTCAACACAGGCCAGCTCTGTGCCTAGATTGTTCCCACCCATGTAGTGAACACCTTCAGCGGGGCTCCCAGCAGGCCTAGCCCTGCCCCCACTCTACCTGGCCCTGCAGCCCCAGCTCCACCAGTCAGTCTCCTGTCATCTAGTCCCACCCCAGGTTGACTCTGCCCAGGCCTGGATCCACTGCACGCCTCCCTCTCCCCCGCCACTTGACCCTATAGCCCTACCTTTCCAGACTGCCTTTGACCTGGGTTTCACCCCACTACGTCTCTCCTGGCCCTGTGCCCACCCCCTCGCCAGCACTTCCAGTCCATTCTGCAGACCCTGGAGGAGCAGGTGTCTGGTGAGCGACAGCGCCTGGTGGAGACCCATGCCACCCGAGTCACTGCCCTTATCAACGACCAGCGCCGGGCTGCCTTGGAAGGTTTCCTGGCGGCACTGCAGGGGGATCCGCCTCAGGTGCGGGAGCCGTGGGGTCAGAGGGCAGGGGGTGGAAAGGGCTGGGGCAGGCCTGGGCAGCCTTCATCGCTTCCACAGCCAGAGCGCGTCCTGCTGGCCCTGCGGCGCTACCTGCGAGCAGAACGGAAGGAGCAAAGGCACACGCTGAGGCACTACCAGCACGTGGCTGCCGTGGACCCCGAGAAGGCCCAGCAGACGCGCCTCCAGGTGCTCAGGTTCTTCCAGCTCCCAAATTCTCAGCTAGGCCTCAGACCCCGGCCTCTGGGACCCCATCCCTCAAACTCTTCTCTTGCCCCTCATACCCTCTTTCCATCCCTTGGACCTCCTTCCTATCCCTGGAACCTCCCCCTTCTGTGCTTGGGACCCATTCCAGTCCCTCAGATCCTTACTTCTTGACCCTGGAATGCTGCCTCCCCGACCCCTGTGCGTTTGACCCCTTTCTTGAATTCCCACTCTCTGTCCCTTGACCCCACTTCTTGTCCCTTGGATTCTTACTTCCTTTCCTAGAATCCCCCTCCTGTGCCTTGAACCCTGTTCCTGCCCCTCAACTCTCCTTTTCCCCTAACCCCACTTGTTCTCCCTGGAACCCTTGCTCTGTGCCCTCAGATCCTAATTCCTGTTTCTTGGATGTCCTCTTCCTGTCCAAGAATACTCCATTCTATGCTCTTGAACTCCAAGTCTTGCCCTTGAACCACGTCATTTCTATATGACCCTCCAGTTCCACTGCCTTCTTCAGAACCTCCTCAAGCCTCACTTCCTATTGCTCAGACCCTACTCTCTGCCCCTCCTACCCACTTACCATCTTCTATACCATATTCCTTGTACCCTATACTTAACTTGTCTCCTGTGCCCCACCTTTCCTAGCAACTACTCCTTTTCCTTTTTCCTTACTTTCTTTCCCGAGACTCTCACAGCCTGTCTTCTGTACATCTTTTCCTTTTCATTGTATTCCACTTCTCCTTCTCCAGTTTCCTTCCTCCCATGGCCAAGTTCCTGTCCATTGTAAGTGCTAATTTTGCTTGGACCCTCTTGACCTTCCTCCTTCACCCTGCCTCCGTTTCCCCATCTCTAGCCTGCACTGCTCAGTTCATCCCTCGTACTCACTCCCCCACAGGTGCAGACTCACCTTCAAGTAATCGAGGAAAGGATGAATCAGAGCCTGGGGCTGCTTGACCAGAACCCCCGCCTGGCTCAGGAGCTGCGGCCTCATATCCGTGAGTGCCCAATGCTGACCCCCAGCCTTTGACTCCCCTGCCATTTCAGCCATCTATTCCTGTGTGACAAACTCCAAAACTTAGTGGCTTAAATCAACCACTTTCTTTTCTTTTCTTTTCTTTCTTTCTTTCTTTCTTTTTTTTTTTTTTGAGTTTGGAAAACCAAGGTTTATTCCAGTCTTTCTTTAAAAATGGTCCACAGTCCTTCAAGGTCCTTCATTAGCATCACTCGAAAAGTTTGTTAAAAATGCAAGTTTAGGGACCTCACTCCACACCTATTGAATCAGAATCTTTTGAGACATGGATGGAAAATTTGCATTTAACAACTTCTTTGAGTAATTCAAATGCACACTGAGGATAGGAAATCTTCATCTTCTGGTCACAGGACAGCATGTACCAGGTATTATAGCTGTATTAAACCAACCATGTTCATTGCTCATGATTCTGCCGTCTGCTCCGGGTTCTGCTGGGTGTTTCTTCTGCCGGTCTTGTCAGTAGTCAAGCGTGTCACTACATTTGGCTATAGCAGATCAGCTGAGGGCTGGGACTCTGGCACAAATGAGCCTCTCTCCCTCTCTGTGTAGGCCCAGGGCCTCTCTTCTCCATGGAGCCCCTCCACGTGGTCTCTCCAACAGGGGAGCTGGACTTCCTACATGGTGGTTCAGGCTCCCCATACCGTGCAAGTGGAAACTGCCAGGTCTTCTTAAGACTTGGGCCCACCTTCTATAGGTTAAAGCAAGTCACAAACCCAGTCCAGACTCAAGCTGCAGGGCCTTCACGAGAGAATGAATACCAGAAAGTGTAACCCCCAGATCTACTGCGACTTGCTCCTGGATGTCCCATGCCAAACCCTAATTCTCCTGCTCTTTAAGGAGGCTGTTCTCTTGATCGTCAACCTCCATCCTCCAACACTCAGCTCCACTTCCCCAGGTCACACGTATGGCTCCCCCCACCGATCACTCTATTGTTAGGGTGCCATCCATTCACCCATTTTTGTTTTGTGGATCCCTATGCTCACAACCTCACCACCTTTCTGCATGTTCCCCTCAGAGGAACTCCTCCACTCTGAACACCTGGGCCCCAGTGAATTGGAAGTCCCTGCCCCGGGGGGCAGCAATGAGGACAAGGGTGGGCTGCAGCCCCTGGATTCCAAGGATGGTGAGTTAACCCAAATCTACATAATCCCAGACTTTGGGATACAGGTCCCCAACCTCAATTCTAATCCCCTAAAATCTGGGGGTGTCTTAGCCACCACAGTGAGTGGGAGAGGATGGGAAGGAATGTTGTAGAGGCCTCTGTAGGATCCTCGATCCTCCTTCCTTGGCCCCTGGGAGGGGGCTTCCCCACACTGTCTTTGGTGATGCTTTCCTCTCTTCACTGCTCCACCTGTCTTGCCTCCTCTGGCTGCCAGCAGACACCCCCATGGCCCTTCCAAAAGGTGAGTATCTCACAGAGTAGCCCCCAGCCACCAAATCCCTCTGAGTCCTTGAGCCCAGAATGGAAGAGGGCCCGTACACGGGGAACCCCAGGCCTCCTGGGGTGGAGTCTGGTGCCCCTTCTGACCCCCTCTTCAGGCGGGGGTAGCACCATTCTGGACTCTCAGGAATGAGATAGGATTTGGGGGGTAGGGTCCACAGAACAAGATGCTGCATCCTCTGAGAAGGAGAAGATGTCAGCCCTGGAGCAGTATGAACGAAAGGTAAGTTAGTCGGACCCGCGGGCACCGGAGGGAGGATGGGCCAGGGGGCCTGGACTCCTAGGTCTGAAGGAGGAGGGTGCTAGGGGTTTGGCTTCCTTGGCCTCAGAGGAAAGAAGGGACTGAGCACATGGACTTCAGGGTCCTAGGGAAGAAGAGGGCTGGGGGATGCCCTCTTGGGGCCCAGGGGAGGGGGAGGCAGGGGCCCGGACTTCTGGGTCTCTGACACCTCCTGCTCCCCCAGGTGAATGTGTCTGTTCCAAGGGGTTTTCCTTTCCACTCATCGGAGATTCAGAGAGATGAGCTGGTAAGAGGAGGAATATTCTGGGTACTTAGGGGAAGAGGTCAGAGGTGAGTGGCTAGGCTGTGACTCCCAAAGCCACACAGGACCCTGGTGAGCCTCCAAGATGACCCCGGCCCCATCTCCTCTCCCTGCAGGCACCAGCTGGAACAGGCATGTCCCGAGAGGCTGTGTCTGGTCTGCTGATCATGGGAGCGGGTGGTGGCTCCCTGATCATCCTCTCCATGCTGCTCTTGCGCAGGAAGAAACCCTACGGGGCTATCAGCCATGGAGTGGTGGAGGTGAGAGGCAAAGAGACCTGGAATGGGGAGGACTTCCAGAGCCTGGGAGTAGAGTGGCTGTGAGGTCTGCGGTCAGGCCCTTGTGGCCCACTCTGCCTCCCCTGCCCCTATTGCAGGTGGACCCCATGCTGACCCTGGAGGAGCAGCAGCTGCGTGAACTGCAGCGTCACGGCTATGAGAACCCTACCTACCGCTTCCTGGAGGAACGACCCTGAACCAGCCCCCTTCACCCCTTTGGCTGAGCCCAGACCTTCCCTCTTCCTGGAGACCCAGAACCCCAACTCCCAGCCTGGGGGAGGGGTCTTGAAAAAGTTCATTTCACACCCTTTGTGAGGGGGCTGGAAATTCTTATTTCCCCTGTCCAATTCCAAATTTCATCCCTAAGAAATCCCCAGGTATTCCCAGCTGCCTCCCCGCTTAGGACCTCCTCACTTTAATTTATTTTGTACATTAATGTATTGTTCCTTAAGGTGACCACCAGTTGGTCCCACGGTCTGTTGTTCCCTGGAATTCACCCTCCCACGTGTCCCCCACTAATATCCCAATAAAGTCCTCTTCCCCACCGGGCCATCCTCCGTCTCTGTGGGGGAATCAGGGTGTAATCAGCTCTGGACATTGGTGTGCAAGCCCGCCCAGACCTCCTTCACCTCTTTAAACTGTTGGAGAGATCTTTAAATCTGGGCGGGGCCTTGGGAAGGGGTGGGGTCCAGAGATCTAGGCTAGGCTCCCACCCAGGAGCTTTCCGTGGTACTGAATGGGCAGCCACTTCTAAGCCTGTATCAGCTGGGTTCCAGGGTGGACTCCAAGGAGGCTGGGCTCTAGCAAGTTTCCCCTGCCTCCCACTCACCCTCATACACAATCACATACAACATCCACCCCCAACCTGTGAACTCGATGAGGGACAGGGAATCTTGAACTGCTCTTCCCATTCTTGAGTCTTAAGCCCTTCTGGGGGAGGTGATAAGAATCCCCTCGGAGTGTGGAAATCCAACCATGTGTCCCAGAGAGGGTTATGTGATGTCTGCAAGTGCATCACATTTTGTGACATGTCAGAGTTGTCCCTCTACATATACTGTTACCTGTCTCAAGAGGGTTGTTATGAGGATTAAAAGGAGTAATATTTGTTGGGACATTAGAATTGTGCCTGGCACTTCGCAAGTACTTGTTGAATAAATTCTAAAATGACATGGCAGCAAACATTCATATGGCACCCTGTGCCAGGAACTGCTCCAAGGGCTTTCAGGCACTGGCACACTTAATCATTATTTCTACCCCAGGAAGTAGGTACTATGACTATCCTCATTTATAGATTAGGAAATGGAGGCAAAGAGAAGTTATGTCACATTCCCAAGGTCACCAGGTAGGAAGGGATGAAGCTAGGAATCCAACCCAGGAAACCTGGCTCCAGTGCCCATACTCTAGGCCACTTTGCTAACCTCCTGCCTAATAATTCATGGCTGTCCCATACGGTGTTTGGGTAGCTCACTGCAAAATTTCAAGTGATACCATTCATCTCCTAGACATTGTAGACTTGCATTTTTACCACAACTTCCCAGCAGATAGCAGTAGTGTGCCATGTTCTAATATCAGGATAGCACAATTTTCTGACAGATGGCTAAGGGAGGGAGCACGTATTTTTAATTCTTCCAACGGACCGATGAGCTCACAGTGATGAGCTCTACATAATATATACATGAATTATAGGTCATGTATATTAAATATAGACGTGGTAGGTATTGGGAGGAAGATGCCTACATGATGCAAGTTGGATACAATGCCACAGCTTTATTAAGAACCCAGTTTGCAACATCATTCTGTTACTGGCTTTACCATCAGGTATACTCAGACCATTCTAGTAGAAATCTATAACTAGCACCACAAGCAGGGGAAAAACTGCCTTTGTATTTTCACAGCCAAGGGTGATTAACAGGCTAATAATAGGTAAGGAGCTCCAAGCAGGTGGGATAGGAAATGAAAGGCCATTTTGCTCAATACGCTCAGTGCATGATTCCCTAATAATATTTGCATTTTAATGGCAATACTTAGAGTAATTAGTTTAAAAACACTGTTTTTATTGAAATTCCAGCAGGAAAAATAACTTTACTATTGCTCATTTGACGCTCTTGTGCCTCTAAACCACTCTTCTTTTCCCATTGAATACGATTTGATTCTTCTTTTAGTAAAGCAAAGTTTCCTAGAGACGTGTTATCACGTCAGTGGGGTGTGTGTGTGTGTGTGTGTGTGTGCGTGTGCGCGCGCGCGCTGATACATGTTGGGAAACACATCTTATATGTCAACAGAATCTAAGATGCCATCAAAAATAAGAAATACCAGGCTTCCCTGGTGGCGCAGTGGTTGAGAGTCCGCCTGCCGATGCAGGAAAAACGGGTTCGTGCCCCGGTCCAGGAAGATCCCACATGCCGCGGAGTGGCTGGGCCCGTGAGCCATGGCCGCTGAGCCTGCGCATCCGGAACCTGTGCTCTGCAACAGGAGAGGCCACAGCAGTGAGAGGCCCGCGTACCGCAAAAAAAAAAAAGAAGAAGAAGAAATACCATTATTTTATGTACCACAAAGGAAAAATACGCAGACATTAAACTATGCCACATAATTGTAAGATAAATTCCAATTAAGTTCTTCCTAGAATTAATGAAATACAACATACTATTAAGAATTTTTCACGGGTCAGCTGCTACTATGTGAGTACACACACAAGAGCACACTCATGCTGGTCCAAGGCAGCTGATGTGGGAGACTTGTGCTGGCACCACCAATAACTCCACCTCCCAATATTCTTGTTCTAGTGCAGTACCTTCCTCCCCACTGATTCTGGGCTTGGCCACATGGCTGACTTTGACCAATGGGGTATCAGCAGGCATGATGCAAGCAGGGGCTTTTTCTCTTGGAATATTCCCTCTTGGAGCTACTGCGTGAGGAGATCCTCCTACCCTCCTGGAGGGACCACAGGCAGAGGGATGCTCGGCTTACTCTCAGAAGTTCCAGCCATCTCAGCTGAGCTATCAGACACGTGAGTGCTGTTATCTAGGCCAGTCGGGCCTCCAGCTGACTGCAGCCACATGTGTGACCAAAGCAAGATAGCAGAAGTGCCCAGCTCAGCCCAGCCCAGATCGCAGAATCATGAACAAAATAAGTGGTGCTGGACTTCCCTGGTGGTGCAGTGGTTAAGAATCCACCTGCCAATGCAGGGGACACAGATTCAAGCCCTGGTCCAGGAAGATCCCACAGGCCGTAGAGCAACTAAGCCCGTGCGCCACAACTACCGAGCCTGCGCTCTAGAGCCCACAAGCCACAACTACTGAAGCCCACGTGCCACAACTACGAAAGCTTGCATGCCTAGAGCCCGTGCTCCGCAACAAAGAGAAGCCACCGCAAAGAAGCCCACGCACCACAACGAAGAGTAGCCCCCACTCGCCACAACTAGAGAAGGACTGCGTTCAGCAATGAAGACCCTATGCAGCCAAAAATAAATAAATAAATATATCAAAAAACAAAAGTGGTTGTTGTTTTAAGCCTTAAGTTTTGGGGTAGAGACTCTGGCATATGCCCTGAAGTGTGCTTGGTTTGTTGTCCGTGAGAGGCTCCAAGCAGTGGGGGCTACCATGCATCAGAGGGCTTTCTGGAGCGACGAGGCTGGGACGGAGGACAGAGCAGAGGCTGTGGGGCAGAGGTACAAGGGGGCATTGTGGAGGTCTTCTGTCTTTCATTTGGGTTTCTCCGGAAGCAGAGGCTGAGGCAAGGATTTGAGGACAAGATTACTGCAAGGAGTGGAGAACATTGATAGGGGAGCAGGAAGGGACCCAGAAAAGGGAAAGCTGCCAAGAAAGGGTACGTTACCAAGCCAGAACCGTGGTGGAGAACTGGAGCTTCGTTCCACTGGGGAGCTTTGAGAGCCCGTGTAGAACACACACTTCCCAGTTATCCCCACGGAGGCAGGGGACCTGGAGTATTTACATACCGTCTCCCTTCAGTCAGTCACTGGTTGAGAGCTGTTGGAGTGGGAAGAGGCATGATCCTCCTGGCATGGAAGTCTTGCCACACTCATACCCAGGGCAAAGCGGGCACCAGTGGTCTGAGAATGCCCACAGGCAGAGTCACATGCTGGCCCTGCCATTAGACCACCAGGTGTTGACAGAGTGAGGGGGACAGGATATGGACTTGGCACCCACCGTGTCTGCTACAACCCCCACCCAGACACATTCACCCAAACACGGCTCCTCAGCCGCTTCCCTGCACCAATGATTAGAGATTAGACAGTAACGGTTCTAGTCCAAACTGAGTTTAATCAAGAGCTTCAGATAGGGGAGGGATTCACTAGAAATACTGAGGTCTGGGTCAGGGGCCTGGTTGTGTTCTGACTTAAAGCAGTAGGACCTAGGGGACTCTAATCGAGAGTCCTTCCTATGTCTCAGGGTTAAGGACCTGAAGGGGGTGGATCCTGGGGAGGTCAGGGGTCATCTTAGGAGCTCTACTAGGATGGTACTGGAAGCTGCTTTGGCGTACCCCAAGTACCATATAGGGGAGTTACATCTGGACCCCAAAAGTTCCTGGTGGGGAAAGGGTTGGGGGTCCAGTGTGTTTCACAGAAACAATCAAGGGGCCTCGATTTCACAGAAATCATCAAGGGGGCTCCTTGTGGGTGGAGGAAGGGTATCACACCACCCCAAATATTGGGGACTGTTTACCCGCCAACAGCCATTTTGGGGTTTTAATGTAAGACCCCGATGGCAGGACATTATGCACATACATTATCACGGATTTGCAACATTAGCATACGCTGGCTGTCCCACAGGACGGTGGGGACTGGAAAATCAGTCCAGGTTCTGGGTTGGAGTCCTAAGAGGACAGGCCTGGGGGCGCCACACGGCTCCTCTTCAGTAGCTGCCGGAGCTGTGAACAAGACAAGACAGGGGAGAAGCTTGAGAGGTTGAAAGGAGAACAGGCACACCCTGTGAAGTTGGGGGTCAGAGAGAAGTGAGTAGAGTCAGTTGGGTTTGAATGTCAGAGGTTCTGAGTCAAGATGCGGGGCTGGGGGTGAAGGCTTGTTCACACAATGAATCAAGGCTCCTGAGCAAAGGTGTTGCTGGCTGGGCGTTCCCACCTTGGGATTAGCATTGAGGACTGGGAGTCAAAGGGGAGAAGCAAGGGGCCAGAGTCACATTTGGGGGTCAGAAGTCCCACTCTGAGGTCAGGACTAAAAGTCAGGGGGCTGGAGGTCATGCTTGGGGATCAAAGGTCACACCTTGAGGTCAGGATTCAGGGTTGAAAGTAGAGGTCTGGAGGAGTCACCATTATCAGGCAAGGGAGCAAACACTGAGGTCCAGGGTCATTTTTTTGTTTTTTTTGGCCATGCCACATGGCATGTGAGATCTTAAGTTCCCCAACCGGGGAGGGAACCCATGCCCCCCGAAGTGGAAGCGTGGAGTCTTAACCGCTGGACCGCCAGGGAAGTCCCTCAAGGTCACATTTTGAAGTCAGCGTTGGATAAGGGTCAAGGTCACCTTCTGAGATTACAAGTCACCCTCTACAGTCAGGAATGATGGGATCATCACCCTGCAGTCAGGGTGGGCTCAGTGCTCACCCCCTCAGGGCCCAGCCCGGGCCGTAGCAGGTGGACAGGCTGCTCGTTCTCCAGGTTGCGCAACGTTGGATCCGCCCCAGCTGCCAGCAGGCGCCGCACAATGGCCTCCTGGGCCGGCCCAGGGGGCAGGGCGGCCGCCATGTGGAGGGCTGTGTTCCCATGGGCCTGGGGACAGTGGGGGGGGCCTGCTGAAGACGCAGGCTCAGCTGGCCTGGGCCCTCTATGGCACGCTTCATATTCCGTCACACCCAGGTCCCACATGTCCCTCCTCACATCCCCCAGAAGCCCCCTCCAGGGCCACATTCCACACACCCCTCTAGGCCCTACACGTGCCCCGTTCACGTCCCACACAGCAGCCCCTCCCCAGACACAGCCCGTGGGACTTCCAACATCCCACTGCCCGCTCTCTGCCATGTCTCACCCAATCTGCACATTCCAGCCTAGGCCCCTACCTTCATGTTGACAAAGGCCCGCAGGTCTCCCCGTGGCAGCGCCAGCAGCAGCTGAACCAGGGTCGGGTTGGCAGCCTGCACAGCCAAGTGCAGAACTGTCTTGTTGCTCTTGATCTCCTGTGAGGAGGGGAACGACAGAGGTCAGGCCAGTCCTCACACCCAAGCCTCCACCCATGGAACCCAAGAGCCTTTAGACACCCTGTCTCTCTTTTTCAAGCACCCAGGAGTGCCTTATACAGTTGTACGTGCTGTGCACTCTACAGGAACACCAGATTTAAGGGGGTGCCATTCAGATCATACACATCACCGAACGGTACATTTATTAAGACAATTTTCCAGCCCAAGTATCTTTGAGAAAAAGATTTCTTTTCTATTCCTCCAAAGGAGCTCTCTGGACTAGCAGCTGCCCTGGCCAGCCCACATTCTATTAAACACAGTAAAATGCGCCCACATCCCACATGGACTGTATTTTATCTGTAAGGATGAGAATTGAGCAGCATTAATCAGTGGCCTACCTAAGCCTGTATCTACTTCCATACTGAACTGTTCTCTTCCTTTTTTTTTTTTTTTTTTTTTTTTTGCGGTACACGGGCCTCTCACTGTTGTGGCCTCTCCTGCTGCGGGGCACAGGCTCCAGACACGCAGGCTCAGTGGCCATGGCTCACAGGCCCAGCCGCTCCGCGGCACATGGGATCCTCCCAGACCAGGGCACGAACCCGTGTCCCCTGCATCGACAGGTGGACCCTCAACCACTGCGCCACCAGGGAAGCCCCTCTCTTCATATTTTGAAGCAAGTAAAGACATTTTCCACAATGAAACTTTACTATGTGCCTTTAAAGAATTTGTAATGATAATAAACATTAAAAATTGTGTGCTTAAGACATAGAAAATAAACTTATGGTTACCAAAGGGGAAAGGGGATGGGGGAGGATAAATTAGGAGTTTGGGATTAGCAGATAGAAACTACTACATGTAAAACAGATAAACAACAAGGTCTTACTGTATAGCACAGGGAACTAGATTCAATATCCTGTAATAATCCATAATGGAAAAGAATATGAAAAAGAATATGTGTACAACTGAATCACTCTGCTGTACACCAGAAACTAACACAACACTGTAAATCAACTATATTTCAATTTTAAAAAGAATTGTGGGTTTATATAGGGCAAAACAACCTAGCTGGCTCATCAAAAAAATTATGAAGAGAAAACTCTAAAGGAGGGGAAGCTCTAAATTAAGAGCTTAAAAGGACATATCACTGCAACGTGTGGGCTTTATTTGTATCCTAGTATTTTTTCGTTTTTTTTTTAAATGAAAAAATAAATGTATGTCACTTTAGAGCCAAATACAAATTTGAACACAGGATATTTGATATTATGAGACTGTTAATTTTTTTAAAAGTGGGATAAAGGTACTGAGGTTAACAAGAGTTCTTGTCTTCTAAAGACAAATATTTATGGGTAAAACTATAAGCTTGGATTTGCTTAAAAAATAATACAGGAGAACTGGATGGGAAAGGACTGGCTATGAGTTGCTGGTTATTTATGTTGGCTACATGGAGTTCATTATACTATTTTCTGTACTTTATCTATGTTCAAAGTTCTTGAACTAAAATTTAAAAATCCAAAACAATGAGTAGATGTTTAATTCTCTCAGCCAGCCTTTGAAGGAGCTACTGCCAGGAAGGAGGAGACTATATGTATTCACAGCTGGACTCTGGGGTCAGGCCACCTGGGCTTCATCAAATCCCCTCTCTGACACTCACAAGGCAAAGTCCTTGAGCCTCAGTTTCCTTATCAGTGAAAGAGAGAAAGTAATAATAGCATACACATCACAGTGTGTTTGTGAGGATTCAATTAGCTAATCCATGGAACAGTGTTTGATGAATAGTAAGTGCTTGGTAAATACAAGTTAAGATCAGTAATATTATTCCCAGTTGACAACTGGGGCGCAGAGAAGTGAAGTCACATGTTCAAGGTCACACAGCTGGGAAGAGGCAAGTCAGAATTTGTTTCGAGTCCCTGGATATCCAGGCGCCCCCATCCCACATGCCCTCCTGGAGGCCAGCTGCCCACTGCCCAGCTCACCTGGCTGGTATGATCAGCACCCATGTGCAGCAACATCTTGACGCAAGCCAGCCTGTCTTGGGCCTGGGTACTCAGTACTGGGGGATATAGGTCAGGTGGGTGCATAGCAACGTTGAGGGCCAGGATGGCTGTGTGGAGAGGGGTGAGGCCTGCAGAGTAGAGACAGTGAAGACTCCACATCTGGAGCACCGACCCCACCCAGCCCCACCAGCCCCACCCACCCTGCCCACCACCCAACTTACCCTCAAAGTCTCTGGCTTCGATGTCAACTCGAACCCCTGAGTTAATCACAGCCTGGGAGGAGGAGGAGGTAGAGAGCTGGATTAGGGTCTCCCCAGGCCTCCTAGCCCTGAAAGCCAGGATCTAGGCAATCAGTCCATCCCATTCATCCCACCTGCCAGGTGAACATACCGAGAGAACTCTTGGGAGCCCATATGTAGCGGCCACGTGTAAGACAGAACGCCCTTTATGGTCAGTGGCGTTGGGTTCCGCTCCCAGGTTCAGTAGATCCTCCACAATCAGGGGCTGGTTGGCAGCAGCAGCCACCAGAAGAGGGGTCTGCAGGAGTCAGGAAAGGTCAGTCTGGGCCCCCAGCCCCCTCCCCTCTGAGAACCAGGAATCCAGGCCTCTAGACCCTCTGCCCTCAGATCCAGGAGTCCAGGACCTCAGCCCTCACCTTGCCCTTATGCTCACGAATGTCCAGATGTCTGTACGCTTGGAGCATCTCAGCTGCGGCGTATGCAGCCCAGCGCAACCCTCGAGCCGCAAACAGGTGCAGGAGCCTGAGGATAGGTGGAAGGCAGCAATGAGCACAGCACCCCAGCTGAGCAGGAGAGCCTGCAGACTCCATTCCCCTATACTCACGTGTCTCCCTCCTCATCCTGGGCCAGCAGCTTTTGTGGCCCCAAAGCCAGCATGTGAGCACGGGCAGCGTCCAGGGATGGTCCATTGACCACAGGAGGCAACTGCGGGGGTCCTGAAGGGAGTCCAGAACCTCTCCAGGATCCTGCCTGTGGCAGGGGAGGTTCTGCATAGAGCCGAGTATCCAGGGGGTCCTGAAGGGTACAGGTGATGGGGAGAGCCAGTCAGCTGAGAATTCCCTCTTTCTACCACACACACGTACACATACAGAGTGCCAGGCAGAGTGGCTGGGCGTCCCATCTGCGCCAAGTGATCTTGGACCCTTGGACCTCAGTTTTGCCCATCTGAGGAATGGGATCCTAACCCAACCCCAGACATCTCAGAATGCTGCATAAGGGCAACTAGGAATCTTAGGAGCCCTTCAGCACCCAGTTCCCATTCTGTATCTCACCTCCATCCCCAGGGGAAATGAACACGGCCGCCCTGGGTCCGAGTGTGAGTAGAAGTCAGGAGTCAGGAAACCTTCAGCAGCAGAAGCAGGGTAAGAGTAGGGCCTGTCCGTGTAGGCAGCATGCGTGTTGGGGTCCCAGTCTGGAAAGCCCATGGGGGGTGCCAGGCTGCCAAGTCCAGAACCCACAGTCTCCTGGTGTGCTGGGAAGTGAGTATGGCCTGCATGTGAGAGGAGGAGCAGAGGCAGGCCTGGTTACCAGAGTTAGGGAAGTCACAGCCCAGAAAGGACCTGTGTGAGGGCCTGGAGTCCCCAAGGTGAAAGCTAGTACTTCTGGGGCACCAAGGGGCTGGAAGCTTGGACTTATGGGACCTAAATGCCTGGGACACTGAGGGGTTGAGGGCCCAGATTCCAGGCTGGGAGCCTGGGCCCCTGAAGGACTATGTGCATAGACTAGTGGGCTCCAGAGAATCTGGCTCTACTCTGCGGGTCTCAGCAAGAATGAGGGTCTAACTCCTAAGTTCCTGGAAGTTCTAAGAGTTGGGATGTTTGAGTCCCTGAGGGAAGCTGGGGCTAGGAGCTGAGGGAACCAGGTGAGTTTCCAGACTTACCAGCTTCACCCTCATTCACAGATGAGGTCAGGGGCTGGGCCAGGGGAGCCAGGAACTGTCCCTGTAGAGGCATAAGCAGAAAGAAGCAAGGGTGAATTTATCTGGCAGATTCCTCAGCATCCATTCCCCACCTACAGGACATCTAAGTCAGGACTAGGTCTCTCATCAGCCCTGAGGGCCCAGCAAGGCAGCAGGTCCTTGCCCAGCAGGACACGGCCTCACGGGAGCTGTAGTTTACGGCGCTTCGAGGGCCTCACCGGTAGCCCACCAGCGTCAGGCTGCTGCTGGCGGCGCCTTTGCTCTTCTAGGAGCTTCTTCACCGTCTGTGATGGGCAGTGGCTGCGCTCACTCCGGCTCACTGCGGGGTGAGGAGGGAGGGAAGTTATCAGGGGGCCTTAAGTCACCCAAGTGCGCCGGGGAGTGGATCTGAGCGCCCTCTTCGCCCTCCCGCGCGGAAAAACTGGCACACTGATGCCGCCTGAGAACTCCAAAGCCAATCTAAGATTTCGGGTGCAGCGCCGCCTCCGCGGTTTCCTTCCTTTTGCTCCGCACTTTCCCCTCTGACCCAACTTTCCACCAGCGTCGTGGAAACTGAGGAAGGAGGTGGAAGGCGCCCTCTGCAGCGCCCCCCTCTGCCTGCCACTTCCGTGAAAAATCCACCCCACCCCACCCCCAGATCTCCCAGTCCTGAGGGATTCGGGGCGTCGCCGGGCATCACTCCCCAGAGACGCACATCCAGGTTCCCAATATCTCTCTGCCCTAGAAGCTGCCCTGATACTTTTTCCTCGGGATACCAGGCATCCGAGTGCCCAGCCCCTCTCCCTGAGGAACCACGAAGTCAGTAGCCCCCTAGCTCATTAGGAATCCAAAGGTTCAGACCTCGCCCCCCTCTTCCGACCCAGAAGTCCAAGCCCCACCTCACGGGAGTCTGGGTGACTCGCATACCCTTTCCCAGGACCCAGGAGTCCGGGCCCTCAGCCTACTCCCCTCTAGGACCTGGTAATCCCAGTTTCCAGACTCCTTGTTCGCACGACGCAAGAAGGCCGGGCCCTCAGCCCTCACCCTTCCGAGCCCCGCTCGAGCATAGGAAGGGTTAAGCGCCGGAGGGCGGGCTCGGAAAGAGCCCAGACGCGACGCACTGACGTCACGTCGCTCACGCAAGGGAATCTTCCGTCTTCTTCTTCCTCTCCGCCCGGCGACCCAGGTGTCCCGCTCCGAGACGCGATGCGTGGCCAAGCGTGGCGCTCGTGGAATCCCCGCACAAGGGAAATTCCTGCTCAGCCCGGGGACCCGGGCCGGGTGGCGACTCGGGAAATCCCAGGGTGGGGCAGGGTCACGGCCAGAGTGCATTCCCGCGGCC